CTGTACCATCCCTTTGGTATTGGTCCTCGCAACTGTATTGGGATGCGGTTTGCACACATGGAGATTAAGTTGGTTTTGGTGAGATTGCTCAAGAAGTATTCGTTTGTCAAGACGGCCGAGACAAAGCCACCAAAACTAGAAGTCAAACAACTTTTGACTGCATCAGGAGTGAAACTTGGAGTTGTGAGACGATAGAACACAAGCTAAATCAATACTGAAAACTTTGAACAGAAATCAATTGTCAGCCGGCAACATGCATGTATATTCATCACTGTCGATCATTTTATTACTATTTGTAATGGTATTTATTAGTAAGAAGCAATTATAAAAAAAACTCAAAACTTTGAATATTTAGTTATGTTTTTTTATTCGTGTTGTTTTTATCGTMGATGCGGAAGTGAATGCTGGTTTTCCTCCCTCTGTCAAAAACTAGCTGTGAGGAGTGTCATGTAGTAAAATAATGAATGTTGAGGTAGTGAGTATGAATGAAGAGGGCCACAAGTTTACTAGTCTAGAGACTATTATGTGCTACCCTCTCAAAATAAAAAAAAGAGTTTAGGATATAATATTGTATCTACATAAAATTCTGATTGGCTGACGAACCGTGAATCTTATGCGTGCCACCGTGATATCTATCCCAGACGTCTTTGCGAATGATCGCACTGCCCCTAAATGCGATAGAATCGAATACCGTATTTTAAGATATGGTATGAAACTTTGTTCTTGAAGAATTACTAAAAAATACCGCTTGTATTTGATGAATGAGCTAGCGATCAATAATGACGTAGAAGTCACGCGGATCCCATACAAATCTATAAATCGCACCCAGTCGCTTACAGAGGAAAGAAACTAGTTAAACGCAATGGAGATTTACTCRTCTTCTCTGGAGTTTACCAAAACCCACTGGAGTACATGTGCTATCGGTGCTGTGGTACTGATTTTCCTCTACTGGTACGGAACTAGAAAACGTTCTCGTCTTGATAAAGCTTTCCCCGGACTTCCAGGTCCAAAGCAATTGCCTTTCATTGGAACTCTACCAGATTTAATAAAAAGTGGAGGTCAAATGTACTTGCATTTAGATAGTGACTGCAAGAAATATGGGAAAGTGTATCGCAGAATGTTATTTGAAAGCCCAACAATTGTCACCACCGACCCTATGATAATCAAAGATATATTTGTGAAACACTTCGACTGCTTTTATAACAGGCCGGTAAGATTCTTGATTTATATTATATTTAATAATGGTCAACTCTTTTTTTGAAAATTTGGCGATATCAATCATCCTGGTATGTTGTAATTTGCTTATGTTTTATCTTATATCGACCATAATCAACGAAATAGAATTTTCATGGCCGGAGGTGGGGGTAGGGGCATGGTGGGGGGTGGAGGGAGTCAAAAATGTTGAACACAAGGGAAGGAAGCTCATACGTGACGGATTTCAAGAAAAACTGGTGCTAGTGCAAAACAACAGACACATTTTTGCCTTGGCTCCGTCAGAGACCGGCAAAAAATAGAGTTTCCGGTGGTTCATTGCCTGCAAATGTTCAGCTGGACAGCAGGGACGTACTTCTTTCACRTTTGATTGGAAAATGACTTAGTAYGGGAACATAAGACCAAAGAAGTCCCAATTCAATCATGCATTAAAAATATAAGTTTTTATTCATTTATTTGTTATATTAAAGGAATTAATAATGATGTAAAAATCCTGTGTTCTTTATTAGCTCCTAATTACCGTCCCAGCACCTTTTAATAAGGGACTTGATGCAGCCAAAGGTGAAACATGGAAGCGCATCCGTACCATTACATCACCAACTTTTAGTTCTCATAAACTCAAAGCCATGGTTCCACTGATGAATGTTAGATGTGATACCTTGATCAGCAAAGTTGAAGAATATGCCAAGTCAGGAGAAACATTTGATATTGTGAAGTAAGTAGTCCATTATACCTATATAATATTTGGTGCTATCGGGAAAAAATTTTGACTGATAGCATCGAATGGCTAAGTTATAGTGTGCCTATTGCACAATTATTGCTAAAGGTATACTAGTAGTAGTTGAAATGTGTACTATTCTTATTGGTCTATGCTATGTGTTGTGACCCTCAGGTGAACGCCTAAGGCATGAGGTCATGCCTATAGTCTATGGACTGACATGAACTTGTGTCAAGTGGTAAGCGGTCTATACCAGTATAATATAATGTATAAATTACTGCCAGGGTTTTACCCAGTTCGGTCTAGATTACTATTGATACTGCTATTAATATACACATTGTGAAGTAAGTAGTCCATAATACCTTAAATAAAATATTTTACTTTTTTTGCACATGTAAGAATTATTAGTATTTAGGGGAGTTAGGGATCAACTTTTAGAAAAGTGAAGGGGAGAGGGTGGGAAAGCTGAAGGTTTCTCTTCTCTATAATATCTGTTGTTCGAATGCATGTTAGTTCTAGTCCGTAACATCAATTTCCATCTACAAAGAGCCTATTCTGACTACACAAATCACCTTTTAAATCCAACAGACATCAACAAGCCCTGACTCTTGACGTGATCATGTCCGCAGCATTTGGAATTCAAACTGATTACCAGAAAAACCCTAATGACCCAGTGATCCAGGTGGTTTTGAAGTCAATGAATCCTAGTTTCTGGGAACAGATGTTCTTCTTTGTTCTGTTGCCATTGTTACCTTTTGGGAAAACCATTGGGGATACAGAAACTGTTGCCAAATTTATCTTCAGGGATTTGATAAAAGTTTCAGAAATTGCTAGAGAGGTTATTGCAGCTAAAAGAAAGGATTCAACACAAAAGGTGATTAACAATAATAGCAAAATGTAAATAATGTAATTAACCAATAATGTGATGATGAAACTGTTGATTCTAGTGTGGACTGTGTCCAAGTTTCATATTGGGGGAGGGGGGGGGGGTTATATAGGGGATATATTGGGGGTATGCTTGTCAGAAATGGCAAGATTCCTAATTTATAGCCCTAAAAGATACGGCAATCATCCCCTTCCTTCGATATATGAAAGTTCCCCCCAGGGAAAAGTGTGATACTCAAATTGACAGAAAAGGAAAGACAGGGGCAGATCTAGGGAACATAATTTTTCTGCTATTTATACTCCTGTAAAACCTTTTTTTTTTTTGAGAAAACGAGTAGTGCAGCAACATGAGTCTGCCATTATGCTGCTTAACGTCAATCTATAGAGTAGTTAGAGATATGTTGCAATAAAAGTCAATTTGCTTCCCGGTCAAATTGTGCATAATTTTTTTGCTCTAGACAATACACAGTTCTATCTGCTATAATTAGTTTTTAGCTATATATTACTGACAAAAACACCCCCTTCCCCCTTATACAATGCTGCATCCGCCCTCGAAAGAATAACATTCACAGTGTACTAAGGTGTACAGATCTCATATTTAATCTGCCACACAGAATAGAACCAAAACATGGTTGCACAGCCAGCTAATCATATTTCTTGTCCTAAAGTCACTAATACTCCAGTTTTGAATTCTCKTTTGTGAAAGTTTAGCTTCAATCAAGCATAAAATAAATGTTTTGTCTTCTTTGTGCACAAAGTGTTTGCATTACAATAGATTCTCTACTGAATAAAAGAATATATTACATGCTTTCGAAGTTAAGACTGCACAAATAAGATCTCGAAACTGGAGTATTTTCATAATTGTTTCATCTACTTTTCTCAGGACTTTCTTGATTTGTTACTCCAAGCCACCAGTTCTGATGCTTCAGATAACAAGAAACTCACAGATGATGAAGTTGTAGCTCAGTGTGTGTTATTTCTCTTGGCCGGGTATGAGACATCAAGCTTCACACTGTCAATGATCACATACAGCCTTGCCACCAACCCTGATGTCCAGGAAAAACTCCAGGAAGAGATTGACAGTGTCTGGACTGATGAGGA